GGCATCACGTGGTGTACGAATTCCCTCACAGATGGTGTTGTGTGCGTGTGTTAGCCACCACCTAAGCAGCCGTGTGCTTATTTATGTGTGAATGAAGCGTAAACGCAGGTGACGTCAGCCTTTTAAAGTCACCCCACAGAAGTAGCTTCCTTCAGCTTAGAGAACACTCCGCGACATGACTCATCATAGAAAACGATCACAACAGTGTTACGGTCACGGTCGTATCGTACAGTTTCAGACGACGACTTACAGTAGTCTGTGTGGTCGAGATTACCTATTTATCTTTCCTTAACTTAGATGAAATGATAGCTGGTTGAAAGTAAAGAGGTGCGATCTGAAGTTTTAGAACGTACTGTATATATGAACAATTTACTTAGGGTAGGTTGTTTTCAGTGAGGTTAGATCAGATGTACAAAGGTTACCTGAAAGGTGAACGGATAGACTTTAGGTTAGGTGGTACGTTTCATACTGGGCATAGACACGCCAACATTGCAAAAATACTGTATAGCTAATCCACGTCGAAATACGGTGTCAAATAAATAAGCCCAACCTACAGCCTACGAACTACCATTATGCCAAGATATACGACGAACAATGTTGGTAATGTTTCGCTGGTGAAAGCTTTGATCGTTGACTAACTTCTCCTTACTACGGACCAACAACCTTAGGTAAGAGTTTTTGCCAGTGAACACAGAATAACGACATCCGTTAAAAAATATTCACCTTAAAAGGAGGCAGCTTATTGGTGTTACCGATCACAGCTCGTGACTGAGCTCTTCGAAAGAATACAATAATATTTGCTTTACATTGTTGCCAACACGGCTTGCAACGGATACACTAGACAGAGTAACAGTACAAAGATTTTACTTTCCGACACTTTTTCGTGGTATTGTCAATACGCGAGAGTAAGGAGATGCAACGCCATTGTTCAATGACAATCGATTCACATCGGTAATTTAAATTCATACCTAGACGAGTAAAATGGAAGTATCTACCAGTCAGGTTTGACTCCATTTATTTTAACTTGAGCTAGGTGTGCGTAACCCGTTTACAAACTAAATGACCTCACGCACAAGCCGCCCGCCCTAATACGCCCACTGTACCTTGTATAGAGCCACGGCTTGAAACACAAACCTAGCCGGTTACTAGAAGTTTCCCGTCACAAGTGATCACTAATACATTCTCTAATCTATTTCTGGAGATTCTATTCAAATTGTACATATGAGGGACTAGGCACCACTACTACACTCATGGGCTCAATTTTCGAAGTATCTTACGCAGCTTAAATTTCGATGCCATTCTTAGAACCACAGTAGCTTACAGACCTCCTAGTTATTTATGTATCAAATTGAAAACAATCGAGCCAATCTTCATCAACTTTTGTAGATAAACTCAGGAGGAACCAAGGAAGGTTATTTTAAATAAAATTGAATAAGATGAAAAACGGGTATGCCAGTAAAACTTGCCGAAACCAAGTGAAAATATTGCTATTAAAATGCTATAAAAAATGTCGTGGAGTATGCTATGTAGAATCAAAAGATCTAAACAGCGATAACCCAGTCGTAGTCCATAAGATTGAACTAAATAAAAAAGGGAAAATGTAAATGTACCGTTTTCCTTTAACAGGTCTCCATCTTTCTTCAGTGGAACTAAGCTTAACATCCATTTGCATGTGATATTGGATGCACTGGAAACTTTTTTTTTTTTGCATCATGCACACAACTGACGATGACAAAAATGAGGGGTACACAAAAGGAAACACTTCAAGTCGGAGTTTATCACCAGGAGAAAGCTTGTCATTCTAGTTAGCGTGGTTTACCCAAATAAATTATTTAATGCTGTAACGACCAATTTTATTATTAGGCGTCCAATAAGTAAAGTGGAGACTTACTAGACTTTTGTTTTAATTATACGAAAGCCATGTAAAGATTTATGCATACTGGCATAGACAAATCACCACGCAACTTTACCCAATCTTTCTCAATATTATTATCTCAAAACAAACTATATTATCCTATTCGTAAAATACCGGTATTTCATTACCCAAAAGCCAAGCATACGTACAGTATACTGTATATTAAACCTAAAATATAAAATATCTAAACTGTGAGAGAACATCTGTCCATGTTGCCTTACTAACAAAATTTTATTTCTAATGGGGGTGAATATTGATTTTTTTTCCTACTCCAATCCTATATCTGGTTATGGGCAATATCGCTGTGATTAATAAAAAAATATTTCATAAAGTTCTAAGACACCATTTCTAAATATACAGTACATCTAACCTACATCCACTGAGATTACACATTACACTGTCAATATTACAAAGGCAAGGAAAAAGGAATGTGATACATCTTAATATTTAAAATAAACGAGTATTTTACCGTTTTGTAAAAATCAAATTTGTAAAAATCTTAAAATTTGGTAAGCTTGACCTGGAAGACGCCCGGGGGCATGTGATCTGTGTTACGTGCGCCCCTATAAATCTTAAACTAGCCCACTGGCGGAGCAAATCTGAATCTGATCATGTCCACACAAGGTCAGACATTTCATAAAGGACCATAATACAATGGTTAAGCGTAGGCTGCACTACACGATCGTTAACCATGTTGATCCACTGACGAAAGAGCACTTCCTCGGCCAATAGAAAACAAATATTTGTAAGGTTTACCTTTCAATATATTCTACAATGTTTAAACCACGACCAATGTGATATCATAAAGATCAGACATCCCGGTTACCGTGGAGGTGCGTAAACTTAATTGGTTAAGCTGGGGTGCCGAATATTCATGTGGGTATATTGACACAATTTAAGAATATAAGAATGAGATGTCACGGGTTCGATTCCCGTAAGTCGAAAGTTGCGAATTCGTATTCAGGGAAAGTAGTTGGAGCTTCCAATAACTTGATGACATAAACCACTGACTCTTCAGGCTTCTACGCCCTTGACTCTTCAGGCTTCTACGCCCTTGACTCTTCAGGCTTCTACGCCCTTGACACTTCAGGCTTCTACGCCCTTAACTCATGAGACATAAAGGCAAGCATGAACTTAGCATGCTTCCCTGTTGGGCGCTGTAAACGCTTCTGCGCTTCACCTTACACAAGGATGTAGGGGAGTGCCCAATAAATAAATAAAAAAAAATACAAATACAAACATAAGAATGGAGGAAATTGCAGCGAGCCTATTGGCCAATACTGGGCAGTCCCGTTTACACCCAACCCTTATCGCTCATATATCCATCCAACCTACGTTTGAAGCTATGCAGCGTATTCGAGTTAATGATGATGTTTGGTAACTTGTTCCAATCATCCACTACTCTATTTCCAAACCAATGTTTACTATCTCGCGCCTAAATCTAAATTTATGGAAAGGTCTACATTCTGAAACCATCTATTTAGGTATCTTTCTATCAGAAGCATTGTACACTCACCTTCATCCATAATTATAATCATGCCTCTATAAGCCGCCCGAACAGACATGTCCCCACATACACAACAAGCAGACATGCCTCCGCGTACACCACACTCGAACACTCAGATAACCCCACGTAACCACACGGAGTTATGTCCCCACGAAGTAAAACACAAAGCCTAAATCACTGAAAGTGAAGTCAATTCCAGGACTGGTATAAAGATACTCATAAAAAAAAACATTATATTCAAGACCCTTGCTCTTATTTTAAACTGTGTGAACTGGAGGAAGAAGGCTGCGCGATCATGTATTGCCACGCATTATATGCAGTATACCGATATATATATATATATATATATATATATATATATATATATATATATATATATATATATATATATATATATATATATATTCTGATAAAATCACACGGGGAAAAGGGAAACAACGGAACACCTTAGCTTTCGTCTTTATTCAAGACAGCTTCAGATTTATCTCATCCACATTTTCATTGTGGAGCTACATGAAATATATATATATATATATATATATATATATATATATATATATATATATATATATATATATATATATATATATATATATATATATATATATGGGACAAGCTAAAAAAGGGGTAAATTAAAAGGATATGACTGTTTTTTGTCGTCTCTAGACACTTCATTTAATTATGATATCAACGTACGTGTGCACGAACTTATTCAAGCGTCTGTCACTCAGAACTGGCTAAATAAGCACTTAAGCTAACCGACAGCATCATCATGGTCCATTTTTTTTATCAAACGAGTTACACTATATACTATACTGTCAACACATAAGACAATAGTTACTGAATTAGTCTGATCTTACAGACTAGTAGTACCACGTGAATACTTGTACCCAGTACAATTTGTACTGTTACCCTCAGTTTACATCAACAAATGTCAAAGGAAGATGTGCAGTGAGGGTGCGTCAACAAGTTGAGTGTGCCACCACTGCTGGGAGGACGGGTTGGTAGCACTGGGTGGCTGGCTGGGGGATATTCTCAACACTGGGGGCAGGCTACGATCGCGGCAACACTCATTCCCAGATTACTCACATGCAAACCCTTGGTACGTTTCTTTCTTCGCTTCAATTATGACACAAACATATAATACACAAAGTTTGCTGATACTGATGAAGCATGATTAATAAGTGAGTATATTAAACTAATACTGCACAGGAGCCAAGATAGTCAGTCATCCTCCACACGCCAGTACCGGACATAAAAGGCCTACCTGCAGGCGTGTCCATCACCACAAAGTGCTACAGGGGCTTCATGTATATTGTTACCTTGCCTAGGAGCTGGGAAACTATATACAGCAGGAAACCTGGGACATGTGGTGTAAATTGAACGGTGACGGGTGCTCGCCGGTACAACAGCGACATATGGAGATGAGGTGTAAATGGTCAAACCTAGTCGATGACGTTCACTTAATGCCCACACTCTGGGAAACGGTTGAACCTGTTGAATTCGAGCATTGACAACCGCGTAGGAATTCGTGTCCAAAACATTTGACGTTGAGCAATACGGTTATTAGTAGTTTACCTTGTTGCGTCGTGAAGGGGCCCGGCCCCGGGACGACGAAGGTGGAGGGATGGCATAGCTTTTTAGAGGTGGCCGCCCGCGCCGCCCACGTCGCAGGCCACCCAACCCACGTTTGAGGGCAGGTTCCCTTAATGATGGGGAAGGTATCAACGACTCATCCAATATTTCTTGTTTAATGTCAAGAAAGTTGACTGGAGCCAGCGTCTCGTCTTCAACTTCCTCCATCATCTCGGCGGCGTCTGTGTCCTCAGCGTAGTAATCGTCAGGGGCAGGCGAAGGCGGTGAGGGAGGCGGTGCTGGGGCATCGGCAGGCACCACGTAGGTGATGAGAGTGGCAGTGCGGTGGGTGGTTTCCACACGTAGAAGTGTCCCCGCACGAATTTCACGGTGAAGTAATACTTCCAATTTTTCTACCAATCGGTTTTGACCAAAGACTAGCAGCTTTTCCTCGATTTGTTCTTTGCTAGCCCCGCCGGGTCCGCAGGACTCGACGGCCATCCGTAGGGCGCGGCATGTTGACTCGCTGTTCATAACATTCACCTTAGTGCGTGTAGGCCGGCGGCGCACAAGAGCAGCCTTGGACCATGAAGCTGCCACACGGTATGAAGTTGCTCCCTTGTACTCCACACGTAACACATCCTCGCTCTCAACTAGCTCATCTAGTACCGCCTCCGTCGTCAACTCCGACAGTAGGTGCTCACGCCTAACATACCAGGCAATCTTTCGAGCACTTGGCCTGACACGTCTAGACCTCAAAACCCGTATGGCATCTATAATAATTTCCCTTTCCTTGTTTGTCACCATGTTACCGTTTTAATAGGTAGTTTATTCACTATTATACAGACAACACTTTACGGAGCGCACTGGATCGCCACAGTGTTGAGCCAGCCGGCGCGCGACAACTCCTCGCACCCCAGCTGATCTCCCGCCACAGCCGCACCCATCGCGCATGCGCAGTAAGTGCTCTCCTGCACCCGCCACGCCACTGACGCACCACTTGCTTTAATTATATCTGTTTTAACACAAACCATGAAGATTTACCAAATAAAACCAATCTAGAAACAATACATTTACATCTGCAATGGAAACTTTAAATCCAATCATAATTCAATTCATTTACAGCTACATACACAACTGAATATTCTGTAGGCATCGTACAATTTCAGATTACCAGTCCGCACCACACACGGGCAAACGTGGTCCTCTTGCAGCTGCGTTTAAAGTTACAAAATGTTGGCGAACACTTTTTACATATATGCAATTGCCGGTTAATTTGGATCATATATTTATTAAATAGTATATAGTAATATGCTCTACTTTAACACAATGAAATAGTTATTAAACACCAGAATTTTATATAATTAACCAAGGTCGCTGGGACGATCCTTTGTCGCGGACGGCGCGCTCTGTCTCATGACCGGCGTGGCTCACACTGTCTTTCGTTGTCCAGACAGTTCTCTAACTACTTACTTATTCTAATAAACTCAAACCCTTCAGGATAATGATAATAAAGTAAAAACACATAACCAAAACCTAAATATATCACCTGGAGTACAACACGTAGAAACCATCAATTTGTTCAATACTACAACACGCAATACCAGCTGGTACGAGTTGCCAGACACTCCAATTTTAAATTCCCTGAAATCCTTATAATGAATCTCGAAAACATGTCAGCATTTATTTGTACATACTGGAAAAAATAATTTAAAAAATTTATAGGATTTATACACGTATACTAATAGATTGGCGATGAATGAAAGTTTTCAAGTGATGACACAAAATATTAGTGGCGTGCTGTGATAGGCAAGCTGTTCGTCCCCTGACCGCCTCAGCCTGTGCCCGCATGGTCCCCGCATGGCCGACGCTCCCAACCCTCCCTCCAACGCCGCGACATCCTCTCTACTGCAATGATAACATCCTCTTCACCTCTTCCACCATTACAGGTCTCTTCAACATATCCTTATAACCATACTTTCCTCTTTTAAACTAACTTCTGATATATCGTCCATAAGTTTCACCAATGACAGCAACACTGACTATGAGTAACCTAATCTTTGCTAACGGTTGTCAGATCCCGTGTCGTTTACCAATATCCCATTTATAGCAAAACCGACACTATGAACCAATATGGCACTTGTTATTTTAAGAGTGAAAAGCACCACGATTTTATTAATCTTGAAAGACTATTCTTAACCAAATCCACGCGAAGCAACACCACTACTGTACCTACATGTTGCAACACAGATACCAAGACTTACCTAGTCATATGTTTTGTGACAGATGCACACACACACACACTTGATCAAAAAGAGGAAACGTTAGCACTTGAGTTAAAACATGGCCAGGCGTCTGTAGCTTTACCTCATCGACTCTTTGCAAACACTGCTACGGAAAAATCACCACTACCACGTTACCCACTGCACCACCACGTCACCCACTACACCACCACCACGTCACCCACTACACCACCACCACGTCACCCACTACACCACCACCACGTCACCCACTACACCACCACCACGTCACCCACTACACCACCACCACGCTACCTACCATACAACCACAACCACCACTTAACACTACCAACACTAAATCTTCCATTACCACCACTTAAAACTGCCACCATCACCACCACTACCACCACCATTATCACCGCCACTTAAAAGAGAAATTTGTAGGCGTGTGTAAAGTGTTCTCGAGGCATCTAGTGTAATATTCGATGGGCTTTACACACACACACACACACTCCATAGATCTGGGGCTACACAAATAAGCAACGTTTTATTAACTCTTTAAGTACGATGAATTATTTAGTGCAATACCAGTGTACGTAGAAGATTAAGGCATCGTACTCAAGGGGGTAAGAAATTTTACACTCGATGGACTAATTTATCGTATTCAAGGGGTTTAACTCATCGTACTCAAGGGGTTAAGATATTTTATACTCGATGGCCTCATTTATCGTACTCAAGGGGTTAATATATTTTATAATCGATTTACTAATATATTGTACTCAAGGGTTTTAACTATCATACTCAAGAAGTTAACTCATCGTACTCAAAGGGGCTAATATTTTTATACTCGATGGACTAATTTATCGTACTCAAGGGGTTAAGATATTTTATACTCGATGGACTAATTTATCGTACTCAAGGGGTCTGTTGTCCGATGTTGTTTGTTACTGTTGTCTGATGTTTGTTACTGTTGTTGTTTGTTACCGTTGTCCGATGTTGTTTAGAACATAAGAAAATAAGGAGTCTGCAATAGGCCGGTTGACCTTTGCATGGCAGCTCCTGTCTACAGTAGAGTTACAACCACTCTCTATCATCCATGATTCTATCTAGCCTCCTTTTTAAAACTTTCCAGCGTTCCAGCACTTACTACAAAGTTGCTAAGCTTGTTCCACTCGTCTACCACCCAATTTGTGAACCAGTTCCTTCCTATCTCCCTCCTAAACCTAAACTTATCCAACTTAAATCTGTTGCTACGAGTCCAATCCTGCTCGGATATTATAAATAACTTTATCTATATCCCCTTTATTGATTCCTTTCACCCACTTAAATACTTCTATCATATCTCCCCGCACGCTTCGTCTTTGTAGGGAATGCAAGTTTAGTTTCTTTAATATATCTTGATATGGAAGGTTTCTAAGTCCCGGAATCATTTTCGTCATTCTTCGCTGCACCGACTCCAGTGAATTGATATCCATTCTATAATAAGGGCACCAGAACTGAATAGCATAATCGAGGTGCGGCCTGACTAGCGCAAGATATAGTTGCAATATGACCTCCGCACTCTTATTACTAACACTTCTAGATATAAAACCTAATACTCTGTTTGCCTTATTTCGAACATTAACGCACTGTTTTCTAGGCCGTAGGTCTGGGCTTACAAATGCCCCCTAAGTCTCTTTCACAAGTCGAATTCTCAAGGTTGATGTTGTTAAGGCTGTATACATTGACAGTATTTGTTATTCTAATATTAAGTATGCTGCACTTGCTGGTGTTAAATTTCATTTGTCATTTTTCTGACCACTCTTGCAGTTTATTTAAATCCTCCTGTAGTGCATTTGCATCCTGCCCTGAATTAATGTGCCGCCCTATTTTGGTGTCATCCGCAAACTTGCTTATGTCACTGCTGATCCCAGTATCTAGAACGTTTATGTAGATTATGAACAAGAGTGTGCCCAGTACTGACCCCTGGGGAACCCCACTGGTTACACAGCCCCACTCAGTTTTAACACCATCTACGCTGACCCTCTGTGTTCTATCGGTGAGCCATGATTTTATCCAATTTAAAATTTTCCCCTCGATTCCATGAGCCTTAACTTTTCTCAGAAGCCTCTGATGCGGTACTCTGTCAAACGCTTCTCTAGAGTTTAAGTAAATAACATCGTAATTTTCGATGTTGTTGTTTGTTACCGTTGTCTGATGTTGTTTTGTCACTATTGTTGTTTGTTACCGTTGTCTGAGGATGTTTGTTACAGTTGTTGTTGATGTTTGCATTTGTTGGTGTTGTTTGTTGTTGTAGTTTTGTTATTCTAAGCTTTTGTTGTTATATACATCATCGTCATGGCATTCTAACATTCTGGTCTTACTTGGGGCTGTTACTATTAAGTGTTCAAAAATATATGAATACCGGGAGAATACTTTTTTTATATATTGTAATGACACACACACACACACACACACACACACACACACACACACACACACTAGTATACACGAGAAGCAAAAGTACAAGTAGCGACAGTTCTCACAAGAGCTACGTGGTGGTGGATGTTGTGTTACGTATATTGTACAATACATGAGCGAGCTTTAACACCCACTGGACAAGACCTTAACTCAAAACAATGCTCCAGTTCTCTTAAGTCCAATTCAACCCATTTCTCAGTCATTTATTCAATCCTCAATAAACTCAATCATTCAGTCGATTTCAAGTTTTTCTGACGATGTAACAAGTGATATTTTTTTCGCCTCCAAATTTCCTCATGTGTTGTCTATCTGGTTTCATGAAATATTTTGTCTCAATATGTAAATTTGAAATAGCTCAGAGACAGTTAAGGAAGTCACCGTCATCCACTACATTATTTAACGCTTAACACATTTGGAATATTATTGACTATACACAATAAAAATACATTGAAATCAGCAGAGGAACTTGTAGCGTGTGTATGTATTGTACCAGCACCTACAACACCATCTATCTATTTATACTCAGCGAATAATGAGTCTACCCCGGGAAACTTGTACTTGGTCTGGCCAGTCTCCCAGGTACAGTACTGTAACTCCTCTCCCTCACCCTCGCTTCCTTCTCAACATTCTGTCAACGGTTTCATGTACCCGGGTGGTTGTTCAGCTGCACCCCCCGCCCTCCTCACCCACTACTTTTTATATTACTATTTAACCACTACCCACAACAAACACCAAATAATGCGATGGAGGTCCAGCCCAGACTCCGACAACATGGTAATGAAGCTCTACTTAGGGGTATCTAAGGTAGGTGATGATAAACAGGTTTCCACTTGTGGAAGTCAGTGTTGCTGGCGGGGCTCTGACACAACCTTCTAAACCCGGCTGTTAATATTATGATCGCCGACCTAACTTGTCGTTTTGCCGGCCATACCTCGATATTAGCACAACAATTTCACGGAAGTCCTGAGACAGGAGATTACCTCACACCCCGGTTAAGGGGTGCTACTATAGCATGCGGTCTACAAAATATTTAGTTTAGGTATGGTTAGGTTAGGTTAAGTTAGACTAAATATATCTTTGTAGACCGCACGCTGTAGTAGCACCGGTTACGGTGTTGATAAACAGTTCACCGTTTCATACTCTCAACGTACTTGGTTGACACAGTACCCTACTAAACCCTCTGAATAAATAGTAAAAAAAAGATACAGTCGTGTAGTAGAAGGCG